GAATCAATTGTTGGAGTTTTACTTCTATACAAGTTTTTTACATCTCCTTTTTTGTTTTTTACACGGAATTTATCTGGTGAATTTAGAATGCACCGTTGTATAGTAATAGCAGCAGATTCATTCGTTTGACAGTCTTTTAATACTTGGACTACTTTATTATGAGACATGTTACGCACAATTATATTGTTTATATCGATGAGAATATCACCTTCCATTAACTCTTGACATCTTTGTTTATCCAGTATTTTTTTAACCTATAATACAATAAACATTCAAAATATTAGATAAATTAAAAATTCTTAAATAGATTTATCAACCTTTTGTCCATGAGCACTGTCTGCTATAGTAAATCCAAAACCCATTGCACCTTTCACTATTGCCATTGTTAGGTATAATGGGGCAGGCATATGCTCTTCTAAGATAAGATCTGTACTATTTGGTCTGGCAATACTCATAATTTCTTCAGAAGCATACAAATCAGGCATCGATTTGACCGACTGATTACATAATTCATTAGATGTAGATCTATTATCAACTTTCATCATGTATAGTTCTCTATCAACATATGATAGATCATCTAACTGCCGGTCTGTTATTTGAAAAATAAAAAATACAATGGAGGTTAAAGCAAAGCAAATACTTGATAGTTTGTTGCATGTGGAAAATATAGTATCAGAATAATTCAAACCAATATTAATATATTTTATAAGCTCTTCATATCATATTTAATTATTAAAGAATGTCATGAGAAAAAATTGAGAAAAAAAAGAGGTATAAAAATGATATGAGTAATAATTGTTTATATAAACTATTTTTAAGATAGGTAAATATCACAATGAGGTAAGCACAGAGAATGACTTTTAAAGAACCTATCACAGTGTACCAAAAAGTTTAAGTATTTTATACATTGAAGTAAAAATATAACAAATGAATATATAATAATATTCTGACAACTATATAAATTAATGCTAGTATTTTGTTAAAAAATAATTTGTTTTACCAGAATTCCCAACTGCAACAGTTGTAACAACTTCTGTATTTGGATCATTTGGATCAAATGGTAGAGGATAACCTCTACATACATCTAAACATACAGTTTCACCTGGAATAATGCCTTGAAATACGCTAACCATATCATGATGTGTATATCCAAGCACACATTTATCATTGACATAAACCAGAACATCACCTAAAAATACAAATATGTTTTAAATTATGCAGTATAAAGCGTATGGTAATACATATGATAAAAGAGTTGAAATATTTTGGGATATACTAACTTTTTAGTTATTAATATTAATCATGATTAAATATTATAAAATGTTAGGTACGTATATAATTATTATATAATATAATTTTATAACTTAAATAGTTTTAAGTTAAATTATAGTTAAATTCTTTTTAAAAAATGGGTTATTAGTCTAGTCGTCTTAATTAGAATAAAATAAAATAATATCACCATTTATTTATTTAAAAAGGGTTAAATAAAAACAAAGTTAATATTGATTATAATGATAGACAATTACTTTTAGGATCTAATAATTTTTTTACTGATATTTAAAAATAATATTTGTGTTCTAATTAGAACACTTGATAAATGACGAATATGAATTTAAAAAAAAAATATTATAATACTTTTTTCTTTACCTGTCTGTAATTTTCCTTCTAACCATGCTGGTCCATTTGGCACAACAGATTTTATTTGAAGAAATTCTTCTTTAGAATCGTCTCCTCCAACAATAGTAAATCCTAATCCACGGATTGATTTTACAAGAGTTGAACGAATCCGCTCTCCAACGAGTTTGTGTGGATTAGTAGTAAATAAATTACTACTGATACCAGAATCTAATAAAAAAAAAACACCACAATAATTAATAATCAAAACTTCAGGTTATAAAAAAAAAACAAACCTTGTTTTATTAAGTTAATATTTTCAAAACTATTTGAGGTATAATTTGGAATATTATCTTGATCATCGTTAATTTGATCTCCTTAAATAAATACAGAATACTTATTGATTGTTAATGAAACAAATTAGTTAAAAATGTTACCCTGTATAGCATTTTTAGCTTGAAGCACAGGATTTTCATATTGTGTTTGTCTATTCACATGATCAATGTAGTATGTGCCATAAAGTGGATCATCAATTCTTTCCCAACCATAGGGTAGTTCATCATCCGAACAGTCTTCTAATTGTTTCTTTTGAAACTTTGATAACCTCGGATCTAGCCAGTGTGATGTACTAGAATTATGACTATAATAAATATTAAAACCCACTATTAATACAACAAAAACAAAATACTCCATATTTAGAAATATACATTTTTTAATTTATGAAAATCTAGAATCTTTTAGTTATTAACAACGAAAGTATATACACATATTTATAGTTAAGTGAGTATGTAATTTAACTGAAAAGTTATACTTAACAGGTAATCATATATAATTGTTAACTACTATGTTTATATTATTGTATAAATATGTACAAATAATTCAATGATAAAAACAGTTTTAAAAAATATGAAATTTATGAGTTTTTCATTTTTAACAGTAAAAATATACCAAGTAATTAAAATTAAAATAACTTACTCAATACATTTATGAAACAATGAAAATTATTTAAAGGAATCCTAGATTGAAAGATATTTTAAAAAATGTACATAATATCTATCTTTGTTGCACATTAATTTAAGTATATTTATTATATAAATACTTACTCAATAAAATAAACTTCACCATTTTTGGTATAGGCTTTTTCCCATTTTGGTGGGAGTGGTCCTAAATCCAAAGTATCTGACAATGTCGAGTCTCTTGAATGATTATATGCATTATTTTTGGTACTAGGTCCGTTTAAGTATTCTTCTGAAACGAATACAAATTTAAATAAAAACGTAAGCAATAGGTAGGTATGATAAATTATAGTTAAAATTATAATTGAAAAAAAAAACTACAGTACAATTCAGTCAATAGATTAAAACAATAATTTTAATCAACTACATTTATTATGGTGATTTGTGACTCCAAATTTAGCCAAAAAAATAATTAACATGCAGGTACAGCACTTATCCATAAGGAAAAACAAATTGTTTTCTTACCGTTATTCATAGGATGTTGAATCTTATCTTGCATGTTATCCATATTCATGGTATTTAATTGTATATTGTTTCATTTGATCATAAAAACATTCTATTTTTTAAGCTAATAATATGATTCATAATCATAGCATAAATAGAGCAAGTCTTCAAAAAATAATATACAGTTGTATCCCAGAGTTCAGTGGTACATAATAATCATCTAGATAATAAAACATATTTTTGAATAAAGCTCATAGTATAGAAAAAAATATACATGATAAAACAATAGTTGTAGCCTTGTAGGTTATCAAATAATTATACGATGAAACTTCCATTTAAAGAAATGTTCTATTTAATAGATACAATTTTTGTCTGTTATACTGTTAAATGAATCAACAACTTTTTCAAATTGTCTTTATAACAATAAATATATTATGTTTGTCTATCTGAAAATGGTTTGTTAACATCTATTTGTATTTGTATGTACGCCCTTATTTGAGTATGATTACTGTTAGTACGTCTTATATTTTTGATGGGTATTAGGTTTGGTAAGATATATTATTTATTATTTCTAATAAATAGAACATTAAGGGGATTCAATACCATGATTTTTTGTCCTTGACTAACACATCTGGAACATAGGATTTTAGACATGTTTATTACCTAACCTAACCTTGATGTAATGAAGTAATAAGAATTCTAAAAACCAATTTGAATTTGTTGTCGAGATCACTTGAGAACGACTTTCCTACATTTTTGTTATTATCACCCAATTTCTAAAAACGTTACATTAAAAATCGTCTTTTAAATTTTTGGAGAAACTAAGATCAAAAAATTAAAAATGTGGGAAAGTCGATCTCAAGTAGGCTTGACGATAAATTTAAATGTTTTCAGAATTCTTATTGCTTTACTATATCAATCAGTAAGTTTAGCAAAGAACACGTCTATCCGGTCATATGTATATTAGATAAAGACAGAAAATCACGGTATCAAGTCCCATTGATTGCAAATATTATCTTTTATTCGTACATAGGTAATCATTAAAATGTCAACAAGATTTCTTATTTACTGTACCTATATCTAGTGTACAATGGCAAAATAATATATGTTAAAACAGTAAGAATCAAATAAATAATATTAAAACGCTCATCTGCTGTACACGGACTTTGTTGATAAGCAGTACACCCGTCATACCGACGTACAAATAGACTTGAGTTTTTTCTAAGACATAGTAATTAAATCACTGTACCGGAAGTAGATAAATAAAGAAATACGCAGTCTATCACGTGACACGAGTAAAAACCTAAGTACATTATTTGAGAAACGATCGCGATATTTCAACAAGTGCGGTACCTACTTATTCATTTCTTACGACTCCAGCATCTCTCTAAGCAGTCCAAGCCCGTTGACATGTAGACTCTGAAATGAAACGAAGACGATCTCGCACCAACTTGATGTCGAACATGTGAGGGTCGCATCCGACGGGTCGGGTAAACGAAAAACTGGCGGTTTGTGCGAGGGCAGAAAGGCCGTGTATATGTGCGAGTGTGTGTGTGTTTGTGTTTACGTATTTGTGTGTGTTAGTGCGCGCGCGCGGACGCGCGTGTGAGATAAACAAGAAAATCTAATAGAAAAACGTTTGTAAATTGTAATAATCCACACAAACGGGAGAAAAAATAAAATTACACAACAAAATAAAAGTCAGATCTTACAATTCACCGTGAACGGTTTCGAAAATATTTAGGTTTCGATAACACGAGGGGAGTGCCTCCGTCGGGCAACACGGACTACATTAACAGTGGTCACCATGGTGAACGTGCCAGCAGGTGTCAGCAACCGCACAGCGCCAGCAGCTACGTCATGTCGTCATGGCATCCCCTGATCCTAATCAGTAATCAGTGATAAACATTCAACACTCTTATTTATGTTAACAATTTTATCTAAATAAATGTACGTCTAAAATCTGAATAGGTAAATAGTTCACTTTATATCACAAGCAAGGTGGATTGATCCACATTTTTCCTTGATTGTAAGTTATAATAAATTGTAAACCTATAAATTGTTTGATAGTTAATAACAATGGTCAATAGTTAAAGTATATTATTAAATGATAGGTTTCAACTATTTAAATATATTATTTTGTTCAAAGTCAAAAATGTGAATGCGTCCAACTAGTAAAAAATTTATAATACATAAATAAAAGGTAAACTATATAACTTTGTACATTTTTATAGGTACTCAGTGATTACAAATTTAATATTAACTGTGGAAGTGAAAATGTAAAAAATAATACATTTTCGCAAAATCAAATATCAATATTCTACTTTTATTGCTTTGCTCAGAATCTAAGACCTGTAATATTATTATTGACTTAGATCTGATTTTGATAGCTTCATAATTAAGATTTATTGTAAGATTAATGAGTAATGACTATATGTTTTTGTAGTGAAGTATTGAACATATGAACATAATATGGTAATTGTAAAACACTGTTGGATTGTTTGTATTTTATAATATTACTCATAACTAGGGTCTGGGCTCGGATGTTGATGAATCTTTTTTTGGAACATCATTGACAATGTTTTCCTAGCTTAGAACTTGTTTAAAATGATTAAATAACATACAAATCTATACTATCTTGAATTTTGAATGTTTTTTTTTTCAAATTAAGAGAAATATGTATGAGTTAATTGTGTATTACATTTTATATTTTTGTATTTTCAATCAATTGAATAATTTAATTTTACCAACCTAATATGGAAAATACTTAAACCAACATTCTTAATTGTTTTTAATATTAAAACCAGTTTTGTGTAAATTTAATTCAAAATCACATATTTTTATAGTTGTAATTTTTAATTTTAATACATTTTTTAGTCTTATGAGTGTTGTTTAAATGTAATTAACATACATAATTTTTAGTACCTTTTTAGTGTTTATGTCAAATGTATTTTCTTATGGGCATTTGTATAGATGTTTAGGGCAATGATCGGCAACCTTTTTTGGTATCAAGGGCAAAAAAATAAAAATAAATTTTTGACGGGCCATAATTTGAAATACACCTTATTTTATTTAAACAAAATATTACAGTAATTTCAAATTTAATTTATTTAAGTACATCACTGTTTGGTACATTAACTATCGAGGTATCTACAAAGAAAGTTATAATAATAAAAAAATACATAGCAAAATATACTAATTGTATTGGTATAAATTATATGTTGTATACATTTTTGTTTGTTAACAGATCTAAAAAGTATCGATGTGTTTAAACAATTATGTCAATCATGAAAATATTTCAGATTATCAATGTAAAAAACCACTATGTAATACAAAGTTGTTTGGTAATATCTTTAGTTACTGTAACAACTTGGATAACAGCAATTCTAAGAAAAAAAAAAAAAATAAGACTGAATGAAAATGTCAACAATAAAATTATTTCAATTCCATTGATTGTTATAACAGGCTGTGACACAGGTCTTGGATATTCAATTGTTATGAGATATTTAAAAGGTGAACATTTTAGTAAAAACCAAAATAACAGTAAAATATATCATAATTTGTTATTTTTCAATAACAAACCACTGATAATTCCAAATAGGATTGCGATTGTTGCATTTTGTTTGAATCCTAATAGCCCAGGTGCTAAATGCTTACTTCAACTATCAGTTAAATATACTAATATTAAATTGTTCGTTAGACAATTAGATTTAACTGATACTGATTCTATTAAGGCTGGTGTGACTTTTGTTACTGATCTACTTCAACAAAATGTTGATATAAATTGGCCACACGATGAAGCAGTTTTTTTTAAATATGGTATGTACAAAATATAATAGGTTAAATGAACTAATTTAAAAAATAAAATCCATTTTAGAACTACATGCATTGGTCAACAACGCAGCACGAATGGTGATGGCAGAATATGAATGGCAAACTTCAAAAATAATAAAACAGCAATTTGAAGTTAATGTTTTAGGTCCTATTATGTTAACTGCAATGTTACTGCCAACATTTCGCAAAGACAAAAGTAAACATTTCTAAAATAATTAATGACGTTATGCTTTTATTGTATATTTTTTATGCAATACTTGATTTAATTAAATAGCAAAGTTCTAGTATAAACATGAAAAAATAAACTATAGGTCGGGTGATAAATGTAATTAGTCATTGTGCTTATCTTCCACTTCCTGGAGTATCTATTTATGGTGCTACGAAAGCTGCTGTGCGTGCATGGACAATCGGAACAAGAGTTGAACTTGAAACTCACGGCATAAAAATGATCACGTTTTCACCAGGTAAAAACACAATTTTGTATGATACAATAAACGAAAGTTAATGTAATAACTATTTCATTTAAGGATCGTTTTATCTTCATTCCTCCATTATGAATGTCGAACAAAGAATGATTGATTATGAAGACATGTGCAATAATATGAATAAAGAGCAATTAGCTTATTATGGTGCTTTTATGTATACCTATCAAAATTACTTGAGTACTATTGATGCATACATTAATCCTCCAGAAATAACCATTCCCAGCACTAATAAAATATACTGTCAAATGGATAATGCATTATGGGCAGTCCACCCCAAAGCTGAGTATAATGTGCCTGAACCTTGGCGATATAGAATCTATTTTGCTGTAGCTTGGACTCTATCATCATTAGGTTTACATTATTTAAAAGATAAGGTTGTACGTCGATTTGTGGCTACACCACAATTTCATGATAATATTGCAAGTTCAGTTGAAAATATCTAATAAACAGAGATTGGAACTTATCTAATTTACATATCTATGCTAAATGTAACAAAACATAACAAAGTGTCATACTGTTGTATGAATGTAAAATATTTCAAAATAATATAGTGAGATCAAATATGAAATTTTATGTTGCTTATTTTTACCTATTTTCGCATTTTATATTATAACGTATTGTACATAGGATATATCAGTTTAAAACCAAATAAGAAATTAATAGGGCCCAGATTTATATGGTCTAAAAATCTCGGAAATATGCACTATTAAATACGCATTTATGCTCTTGTTTTGTAGGAATGTACCCTATAAAATAAAAAAGTCTAATGCTCATTATTTTTTATATGTTTAGGTACATAAAGCAACAAATGAATCGTATAAAAAAAAATGAAAATAAAATATATATTATAATATAACTTGTTATATAAATGTTATATTATATTATTTATTTTATTTTTATTTTATTTTTATACGATTCATTTATTGTAGTTATTTCAACATATTATAATTTTAATCTGAAAAGTTAATATTTAAATATAAATCAAATAAATCAAATGAAAATAAATTATCGGCACTCGGATTACAAACAAACACAACAAATGTATGTTTACAAATACCTCCTCAATAGCAGATAACTACTTATTCCAATAGGTCTCAGACAAGATGAGAAAACGACTTTGCCAAATTACATGGACAATAAATATAACTTTAAATACGTTATTTTAATTAAAATAAACAAAATATTACATATTATGCATTTAAAAACCGTATATATGCAATACAAAATTGTAAAATACAGAAATATGTAGAACATGTCAAAAAATTAAAAAATACACAAAATAAAACTATAGTTGAATCTTGAAGCTTACTAGCAATTTTTTGGACCATTTAGAAAAAACATGCAAATGCATATAAATCTGGGCTCTAGTAATTAATAATTATCAAAAATTAAATAATTTAAATTTAAGAAAAAAATTAATGTTGAATCGAATTTATGTAACTAGTATATATTCAATTTAATAAAGTTATTGATAATTATACCTATTATGCACCATAGATATAAGTACTGTACATATTTAGTGCTTAGTTTTGGGGGTTACTTTATTGAATAGTCACAATTGTGCTAACACAATCATATGGATAAAATTAGCCTGTGAATACTAGGGAATAAAATAAAAAAAGAAAAGTATTTTCATTTTAGATTTTGAGAATTTTAGCAGTTCTACGTTCCATATTTTAAATAAAATACAAACACGATGCACATTCATAATATTTAAAATATATATCTTAATAAAGAATTAATACAATATTAAATCACGTGTTCATTTCAACAATGACAGCCAATTTCAAATAATTACATAATATACATATAATACATAAACAAATAATGTTATTAATAAATAGCAATTACTTGTATTACTTTCATTGAGAAAGTTACAATAATGAAAAAACTCGTAGTCAGGATTTTTTTTGAAGGGTGGGGTGTGTGTTTTAATTTAATATTTGAGTACAACTTGTGGGGGGAGCTTTTCACACATCTAGTTTTTTTTTTCAATTACTCTGGTGAGAGGGGCGGTGTAACATCCATAATACGCACCTACTCCCTTAAATACTTAGTAATGACTAATGAATGTGTTAAATATGAATTCAATGATGAATCATTGCATAGAAAAAATAATTTTGGACGAAGTCAGTCTGTCCTAAAATGCACTATATTACTAAGTATGTTTAATGAAATATTTATATTGCTAAATTACCTAGTAATTTATTTTACTCTTAAGTAAAAGTAATATTTGAGGTTGAGTACCTACTACCCATAACTTTTGCCAAAAAATGGCAAAAACAATGATTTTATTATATTACTTTATTAATATTTAATTGATATAATAGTAAATACTATATATTTATGTATTATACTGTACATGTAATTATTGTTTTTAACTTTTGAGTCAATACAGACTTACTGTAGAATGACGTGAATAGATTTATGATAATATACCTATTAATATAAATAGGCAATAATTAAAGTATATTTTGAAAATATTATTGATAGTTCTGTATACTGTATACCTATACAGTATACAGTAATGATAATGATATTAGTAAAAGTTTCAAGCTACACAAATAATATTTTTGAATTACCCTCAACAAAATAACTAAAATTGTTATTTTTTGTTTGTATAGGTTAGGTCTTAGGTCATTTTAACAAAGGCTAAATAAATTTTTAAAAATGTCATACATATCTGTTTAAAATGACAAAACCAATAGTCAATACCTATATTAAACTTTCAATAACATTATCATCTATATAATTTTGTAGTTGCCCGAGTAGAAATTCTTCACAGTGATGTTGTGTTTGGATTTTTTCCTATTAATATAACTGTACCAATGGTGGTAAAATAGTGTTAAAGTGTCGAATGTTTGAATAGTGTTAAATCTGTGTTTAACTAATTTGGAACAGGGCGTTAGGTTTTGCGAGGCCCTGGGCGGAATACATTCCTTGAGGCCCTACATTTATGCAAATTGAACACTCCACTCACCTCCAAATATTAAGATATGCAAAAGACTAAAATACATTATATTTGCATACCTAATACAAATAATTATTCTTCATATAATATACCTAATAATATTAATATACATTTTAATATCCTATATTTACCTATATTTAATATCTCAATATCCTTATAATTTATTAATAAAAGTATTTATTGTTTTTTATAAAATTGAGATTTACTTTTAACCTGAGTTTTACCTACATAATAATTATTTAGATATTTACAAAAGAAAAAATATTTTAATTGTACAAAATCAGATAAACTAAAGGTCAAAATTAATAAGTCAATACTTGTTAAAAGTCGTAGTTAGTTTCTAATTATTGCTTTAACAAAATAAAATAAAATACATATTACATATAGTTCTATGCTTAAAAATATACTTAAACTTAATTTTTTTAGACTTTTTAGCCGCAAAATCTTTAATGAATTTTTTTACAATTTAGATTTTCTGACTTCTTTTTCCATAGCTTATATATTCAAGTCAGAAAGAAGCTCTTGGGACATTTTACTTCTAAATTACATTTTTATAAGCTTTAACTTTGAAAAGCTGTGTTCTGCGCTAGCTGAAGTTATTGGAATAGTTAACATTATATCTTAATAGTCACGGCTAAGTTTGTAAAACCTTCATTGCTTTTTTTTTATAAAATTGAGTATCTACTTTAATAGAAATTACCGATTTATCGATCATGTTTTGGCAATACAAAAGTTCTTCAATCAAATCGTAAGCGCAATGCACAAATACTACTAAAATAATAAATAACTATGATAATAATAATATGCTTTAGAGTCTTCGGCCTTCAATAAAAATAAATAAAGAGAACACCTGACGAGCGACGATCCGTTTCTGAAGAATGAAATAACCCGTTACAAAGTTAATATTCATAAAAATCAACTAATTAAAATAAAGAGGGTAAGAAAGTAATTTTCATTGTGTTATAAGAATATATTAAAATATAGCATACATAATGAATATATTGAATAGGCATGATAATTACTCAAATATTATGCTAACGTAGGTAAATAAAATTAATAATTATAAAAAACCAACGCGTAGGTATGTAAAATAAAAAAAACAAAATTGACATCACTGACATTGCCTTGTGTCGACGTGTCGTTCATGAGTAAACTCGCTTAATCGAGTATCGACAAGACGACAACCATTCACCCAGTTGTGTATAAAATAAAATTATGGTCAAAAATGAAAATGAAGTGTTAAAATCAAATTAATTTTACCAAATTATAAATAACTAATAAGTTATAAATAATAACTAAATACACTCAATGTTGCGCTATACTGGTATTCCACGATTTTGAACGCACAGCATTAATTTATAGTTATAAAATATTTGTAAATAACTATTCATATTTGTATCTAACTATTCCATAATCGGTTGCCATATTTTTGTGCAGCAGTAAATATATGTGTATTATAAAATCAAGGACGCATTGACTCAGCATAGAATACAAACATCCAAAATTGTTATTCACATGAACAAGTAATGCAGAGGCCCCGGGCGTGGGCCATACTCGCCCGGCCCTAAATACGGGCCTGTTTTGGAACCAATAAAAATATATTACAGTGAAACATCTGAATAGCAAACCCTCTCAGTACCCGAAATGTTGTCCGTTATTTGGAGCTGCCAGTTATAGGTATTCAGAATGAGGGTAATAAAATGAGAACGTACCTAGATGTCTTCGACTCTTCGTCCCCAAAATATCGTCTGTTATTGGGAGGTTTTACTGTATTTCTGTAAGGACTATTTATGTTAACATTGCGTAAACAATTGATTTTATCTAGTTGCGTCAAGCAATTACATGCAGTCAGCAGCATGCTGCACTTAAAAGAGGATTGGGGGGGGGGGAGTGGGCTGAGCTTCGCCAAAATCTCCAGAAAGCCTTTTTTAAAAAACAGGAGTATATTTTAAGCAAGGTATGAAAAATGAAAATGAGAATACGTTCAAACGAATACCATAGTAATTAGTAATAGTAAGTTGTAATTTCGATATTTTTTTAATTGAACAACTTATGATCAACCATGTATTCAATTTTCCAACTCTAGATCAAGTAAAAATATAGAAACATAAAGTAAAAAAACTGCATAAAATTAAAAACGGTATTGTATGTCTAAAATAATTCAAAAATCATAAACAAATGTAGTGATAATTTAAAGTATGTATTCGGTAGGTGTCTTATTTTTAGTTACCTACTCCAAAAAAAAAAATACCAATTTAATCAAAAAGGTATTGCTTAAAAATGCCCGAACTTCCTTATTTATTTTTATTTTTCCAGTATATGGAAACTGGTGGAAAATTTCAATTTTTACCTTTATCAAAAGTATTAACTTGCTTTTTGGAATCAGCAAAACCTAGTTGGTACATTTGGGAGGTCAAAATTTAAAATTCAAAGTCTCTTCCAAAAGCCCCAGGGGGAAAAAATTAAGAAATGTTTACTCAAAATTGACTTTTAGTGTAACTTAAAAAAATTACCGTAGATTCATGACATGTTTTGTGAATGTTTATATATTATGTATTAGCATTTTTTATACACCATGAGATTTTCGACGATTATTATTTGTTCGTTTTTTTAAATTAATGTCAAAAAAAATTTATTTGAATGGTCAAAAAACTTGAAGATGTAATGCAAAGTTCCACGTAAGCAGTTGTTAGAGGAAATTTAAAAAAAAACTGATCAACAATAATTTTTTATGAGCGTCTGAAGTTCAAATGTTGACAAAATTCGTATAAATCACGAACATTTGCAAATTATTTTAGTTAGAAATTCATAAAAAATGTCTTATAAGTTTGTCTACCTTTATTAAGAAAACATTCTACCGGAAATTCAATTTTTATGAGAGCTTGAAGTTGATATTTTTACAACATTGGATATCAATACATTTTTTATGTAATGATTTTTCTTATTTTGCTGTAATTCAAAAACGAATAACTTTAGATACTTGAAATTTACACCATATGTTTATTATCAATTCATATACTTGATACAATTTTCAGAATATTTTAACTCGTAGTGAGCTGTTGACGTACATTTTCAAATTTCATTTTTTTTTTCTATAAATGTCATTAAAATTCTATTTGTTGGGTCAAAAAGAGTGAAATATATTGATATGCTGATATATTGTTACAATATCAGTTGAAAATTATTAAAAATACATTGGCATGTTTTGTTTTATAATCATTTAAAGTTCAAATGTTGACACAATTTCTCAAATTGAAAAGTGATTTTTTAGTTAAAAATGTATTAAATGTTCAAATTGTGTGGGTAAAGATTTAAAATTTAAAACATTGCTCTACGTAAGTAATTAATTCTGCAACCAGAAAATCTAAAAATAAATATAAACACAGCTTTTTTTAGTTCAAATTTAGACGAAATTATATATTAGCACAAAGAATAATAATTTTAGTCATTTTGTTGTAATTTGGTTCCAAAACATCCCATCTTTACATAAATATACATTGTACTTTTTCAATACACTGATAATTTAAGACTAATATTAATTCAACTTTCCGGCTACCGCATTGATAATAAGTAATAAGTAATATTGTAATAACAATATACAATTTCCTAGACTGACATACCATCTCTGGTTTCCTATAATTGTTTTTCGTATTCTTTTATATTATTGAATTCAAATTTAATACCATCCATAACAGCGACCTTCTAGACACCTAATGTACAGCAGAGTGACATCCACTTACTTTTTAAGTAAATTTAGACGAAATAACATATTATCTAAAACCTAGAATAACGATTTCAGTTAGGCTGGGGCTATACACGGCGGATTCCGCCGTGTATTCCACGGCGTTTTCCGTCAAATTCCAAATGTATTAATTTATATCGGAGTAGCTATACACGACGGATGTAATACGCCGCGTTTTTATCCGCGGCGGAAAACGGCGGTCGGCTTGCGTTTTGGCGGACGAACGCCGAAGTAATAAAAACGCTCGACGGATACGTTCTGTATAGCTCGTCCGTTAGTTTGTTGTACCTAATTCAAAAAACATTATACTTGCCTCTTGGGTGCTTGAAACTTTTGAAATATATTAATATATTTTTCACAAAATGTGTAGTAACATACTGTTTAGATTCAATAAATTATATTAATGTTAATATTAATTTTGTTTATGTTAATATATTCTTACAATTATTGACTGATTACTGAAACAAGTACCAAAATTGACTCTCAAACAAACCTTTGAAAAAATAAAGTTCGTTTTGCTATTGGGATATCTGCGTGTTTAAAAATTTTGAAATTGTTATAAAAAAATGTCTTGTCAAAAATGAAGAAACACGTCTCTTTTGTTTTTTTTTTGAAATCATATATCATCGATCTATAATCGTTAAAAATCCCCGTGTACAATGAATAAATTGTCCTTATTTTATATACTGACATCCTGTGCTAGTATTTATAAATTCCAATATCAATCAATATTGATAACTGCGTATTTTTATGAAGCTTGGAAATTATATTAGTAGTTAAAAATGTTTTAATTTTATTTGAAAATATTTTATTTATTTGTAGTTATATTTTTCGCTATTTTTATGTTTATTGCTTGTCATTATATCATATACATATTTTAATGAATAACAATATTCAAATTTGAGCGCTATTCTACAAATATTTAGACGAAATAGTTGATTTCATTTTTATAAACATATTTTGAAGTTCAAATTTGGACAAATTTTGATATTCAAATAAGTAATTATGAATTGAGTTGACATTTTCAAAACATATAGATTATTTCAATGCTATTGACAATTTACCTATATGTTATACCATGATATTACTAATAGTAATACGAATAATTACTCGTAGACATATTAATAGCTCAATAGAATTACTTTGCTACCATAGAAATGACTAGCGATATATATATTTTATTTGATCATAAGCTGATAGATCATCTCTACTCAGAATAGTTTTTCGTATAGGTGCGATGATTAATTATCATTAAATCCTAATTTAACAGATTCATTACGGTAACTTACTGAATGACGAGGTACTTCGACTCCTACTGTACAGCACTGTAGTTGCCTACTTCTTCCTCTCCCCATATTTTTAGTTTAAATAACATTTTGAAGTCATCTGACTTTTTATACTGTTAAATATTAATAATTCCGTTTTAAGTTCTAGTTGTAATGTGTCAATGTTAAGGTATTGTGTAAATCTATAAATGTTTAGTAGAAATATGTAATACGTTTATGATATGCAACTATGCAGGCAAAGAACTTATCATTATTCTCAAATCTAAAATATTTGCTTACAATTCATGTCATAGTTACTTCAGTAGGTACTACTTGTAGTTAGGTAGTCTTATGCTTAGCTCCCTAAGGTTAGACAACTCAACATACACGGTTTAATGTCGTAACAATAATATATATATTTTTTTATTATCAGTAAATAGGTATCTATATCTATTATAAATTATAATCTATTCAGTGAAATGTGAATCTTCCGTTGTCTATCTTTGTCGTTTTATTTGTTTTATTCTATGGTTTCACGGTACTGACTTTATACCGAGCAGCTATAACAAATTACAATAAGCACAATATATGATAATAGGATATATTTAAATAAATAATAATAATAAAATATAAATATAATATTATCTACACGGACAATCATACTGTATTAATTGTAGTGTTGCGCACATTTTGTGCGTCATAGTTCATACTACCCACATTACAAATATACGCAAAATTGGTAGGTAGGTACCTATGTATAGTTATAGTTACCTTATAGTTATTATTCAGTCGTTATATACGTTCATAATAATATATTTATATATTTATATTAGTCGTCAATGTTATGCTAATGTACATTGTTCAAATTTTAGAATCGGAGAAGCCACTGAAATCCGACAATGTGTACATAGTTTTGAATGCAAATTAAATTATAATAACTTTGCATTGAACAACACAATCGATAAGTGCATATATGAATAACAACGAATTATAATTATTTGACTCGTCTTGCACCTTGTTTAAATGAGAACATAAACGCCACACGGTCATTATTGTGTTTGTAGAGTATGTATTAATCTATATTACTGTTTTACCTTGGTATTCCATTAAACAATTATTATATTTTAGTGATTAAAAAAAAAATATGATCTGTTTTTTCAGATTGTTTACTGAATATTCCTGTGCTTCACCTAAAATGTTGAAGATTTTCAGCTTCATATCCTATTGGTACATGCGTTACTTACTGGTCTCCGAATTGTATTTAGTAGAAAAATGGGAAAGGTGTTTGATACGTATCCTTTTTTAAAAAGTTAATATTACTTATATTTAATAGGGAAGATCTTATAAAATCAGTTTTGTTAGAGCATTTTTAAAACTTGTAAACACTTTATTTTAACAGACATTGTAAAATAGGTACATTAATATTATAACATGTACCAAATACAATTATCATTATTATAAATTTTTGGATTTTTGTAATGATTAAAATGAACACCATAACTCATATGTTTGTCATAGATGTATATTGTATAGTCACAATCAGGGCTCGGATTCTACAGCATTTTTTACCAATTATTTTATACACAGATGAAAACATAAAATTAACTGTAAGTTTTGCATTTGTCATGGATTACAAATAAAAAAAGGTTATTTTGTTAATTTCCCAGTTTCGGTGCAATTTATGCTAATTTGTGTTTAGAATAGAATTTATTTTAAATGAAGTAGTATAAAAAAAATGTAAACACAAAAAACATTTATCAGTGTTCGTTTTTTTAGATTATTTTGAATAGTGTTGCTTTAAATATCATTTCAATTCAAGATCATTCATTCATTTATTTTTTTTGCCAATTTAAATCTAAAATGTTATATTCCTACCTACAGTACTTATGAAATAAGCAATAAATGATAATTTGTATATAAATAACTTTATTTTTTATTTTTAATTCATATTAATGGGCATTGGGGATGTTTTATTATTTCCATATTTTCATGTATTATACTTTATTTTAATAGTTTTACTAGTGATTTAAAGTTAGACCCCAGGTCATAATTAATGTCAAATAGGTATGCACTCTATTAATTTAAAAGATAGTAATAATAAACAAGGTAAAAATTATTTGTAACTTGATTTTTTAAAATTGATGAATTGTGCGTTGTATATTATAACATTCAAGTTTTAAAATATATTAACTAAAGCCAAGAATTTAAAGTCACAAAAATTCTTGTTAATTTTACATGTGTCTTAACAGTATACAACTTTGAGAGGGGGCAGTTATTATCTTCCTAGATATTTTATTCTATATATATCTAGTTACACAACTAATAATCATTTTATACTAGATTATAGATTATTTATATTAAAAAATAGTAACAATTGATATTTTTTTTTGTATACAATCTATTTTACAACAATTTAGACTGTAGGTTCATAATACTATTTATCAAAATATAAATGCAAATCCCTTGCACAATATTTATGATTTTATTTTTGCCTAATTTCTTGTTTTTGAACTAGTCTTAAATCCAAGTTAGGAACAGAATTGATAAACGAGTATATAATAATTATTTGATGACAAATCTATAATATAACCACTGACTGTAACTTTATTTTAATTACAACACTATTTGATTGCAATTTAAGTTAATTTTTGAAATACCAATTCAATATATCTGATGCAAACTGGATTAAATAATTTATGGGATCTTAAAAGATACTACTGGAAAAATTCAGTTGGTCTAGAATATAGACCATATAGTTATTAATTACAAATACACTAAACCTAGAACTTCTAGGTCGTATAAATAAATCAATATTTGACAAAATAATTCTAATTTATTAATTAGAGCCTTTGCAGTTATATAAATACCTATTTGCAAATTATACATAACCAGGTTTGTTACTCAAAAAGTCATCATGATATTTGAACTATACTCCGCTCCACGAGAGAAGGAACCCGTGTCCCGACCAAATTGCAACCGACTCCGCGCATCCCCACTTATTTGACATATCGTCGTCTAGTTACCTAGCCTAGTAACGCTAGCTGCCGTCAGTCTGCATGCGCGAAACGGGTTCCTTCTCTCGTGGTGCGGAGTATACCTAATAATTGACCAAGTTGTTTTATATTATATTCAATTTTACATTATATTCATTGTATATTTTTAAAATTTTCTTAATGAACCAAATGCAGATGCCATAATGTTAATATTGTTCGTTGGATTGTGGTATATGAACAAAGTATTCATTGAATTTGTTTCAAATTGTATAGCATAATTTAACTATAATAACTTATCATGTTATTATAAAATTTTGCTTTCAAGTTGATAAAATATTTGAAAAATGATCAAAAGCTGCATACACAAAACAGGAAATATGTTCAACATTAATATTGATTATGTTACAGCAAAATATATAGTGGTAATTTATAAAATAAAGAAAACATTTATTTTTATTCCATAATATTGTGTATTGATTTAAAAAGACAAGCCAATACACAAACAAAATCTAAATATTCTAGCATAAAAATAGTTTAACATAAAAATAGTTTAACATAATAACATAACAGTTTTGGTTGATTAGATAGGTATCTAAACTTAAATAGATATTAAATTTTGTGCGTAAGCAAAACATAAAGTATGTTCTGTAGTGTCGGTTAATGTTGTAAGCGTTATGTGATTTATTGCGGTAATGATGTTTTTATCTAAAATTATAATTAATATTACATTGTAACTATAGTATATTATGGTAATCATAATAAGTAATATTTTGAAATTAAGTGTTTATTTCTTGAATAAGGTTTGTTAAAATGTTAAGAATTAATATTAAATGTTAAAACAACAAGATTTTCATACTGGATAGTAATTGATAATAATCAGTACTAAATAGTGGTATAGTAGTAAAATAAAAGTAAAAAGTAACTTAAAAGAACTATAAGATCAATAAAATGAGTACAATTTAAGTATTTTTAATTATCATCCATAATTATATTTAAATTATGAAGTTAACTACAAAGTGATACCCTATTATAGTAGGATACTATATCATTAGTATATGATATAATATAATAATAGGAAATACAGAAATAAATGCTTTTAAAACAATTTAAGTACCTAACGATATAATCTAGGCACTAACCATAGGTTTCAATAATCTAAATATCAATAAACAAGGCTGTACATGTAAAAGTTCACCCTCCTTAAGAAATTTGATCATATTTAAAGAGATTTGTTTTTTATTATAATTTTTATACAATTTAACATCATGACTTATTCATAAAAACTCCTACTAAATTTATATTCTAGGTACAGCCTTTTTTATAAATTATAACGTATAATACTTGAAGGAATGAAAAAAAAAACATTAATGATATTATATATGAATATCCGACACTACAGTTCTAATGTTTTAAAGTTACACACACTTTTAAGATACAAATAGTTTCAAAAATGTGAAAGTAGTTTTTTGCACTAATATGACATGCGAGTAACGTGTTTTAAATCTTCAATGTCAACTAACATTGAATCTTTTGCCATGTGTAATTCATCTCTTTCTAGTAATAAATTCACGAGGCTTTCGTTTAAATCTAAAAAAAAAAACCATACTCAATTTTTTTTAGATTAAATAGTTGACAAATACTCACATTCGATGTAAGAATGTAGATCATTAACAATAACTTGTAGTTGTGCCAAGTTCAAACGCATTAAGAAATGTCTACTGACACGTCTTCTATCATTGTCTAACTTCACTCCAACCTAAAAAAAATATGTATTTTATAATAGATAATAATATTAGTTAATATTAAGTGGCCGTATCAATTTAAAATATTAAAACAGGAAAAAATTACTTCAAGAACAATCAATCAACTTTTTTAAATATTAATACAGTGGACATCGCTTATAAGACTCACGGTTATAAGGTTCAGTCGCTTATTAGACTCAAAATTGTCTGAAACGGTCCAGACGTATCCAAATACATTATAAAAAATTCGGTTATAAGACTCAAATTTTGTAAAAAATAAACATTTTTGGTCAAAATTTAGAAATAAATTAATGTTTTTTGCTTTATTATGGGTGTATGTACAACAAATTGTATCTTCTTTCACATTTTCCAATATATTTCCGGAATATTAGTTTATAACTAAAAAAAAAACAAAATCACAATTTTTTTTCCATAAATAATAAATAGGTACATTATACATACATCTTTTATAATTTTTTATTAATGTATATAATCATTTTTTACTTGTATTGTAATTGTAATTTTTTAAATTTATTCAATAATACGGATGTCATATCTGTATTAGAGTATTAAAATTAAAGAAAAATATGTAGTAAAATAAAATTCATAAATATGTAATTAATTTTTTTTCCCACTTCGCCTACAAAATTCATTCGGTTATAAATAAAGGCCAGATTTATATGTTTTTACATATCGTTACTGGGTCTATGCAGTCTTATGAGAGTAAAAAATGTGGATGATTCGTTCAATACTGAATGTGTAGAAAAAAGTTTTTTTTTGCATATTTGAGAATATTTAACCCATTTAGCATATTTTGGAATATTTCGTAAATTTTGAGAAAAAATTTCTATTTATTTTTAATTTTAATATTACGGTACCTAGAAATATTTTTTTTGAACATTTACAATTTACTTTTTTTTATCAATTTGATAAAAAGAAAACACGTAGTGCTATCAAGGTTTATCTATGAAGCTTGCGTGTTATAGCGCTAAAGTGAATCAATTATACCAAAAAAACTAAGGTTACCAAATGTTAGAAAAAGTTGGGAACATTTTATGTGGAAACAATGAAGATCTCCTAGAAAATTTCACACCCAGAGTAGTTGCTGACATGAAGTTTGCTCCTCTAACATCTGTTTATGTTGAGCGTTCATTTAGTCTCTATAAACACATATTAAGCGATAGAAGAACTAACATGAGTACAGATAATATGGAAAAATATATTATTGTTAATTCATATAATAAAATTTAAATTGTATTTCAAGTTTATATTTTATTTTTCAGAAAGTAAATATTTACCAAAGGAATATTGTTTTTTTTATTTTATAAATGTATTATTATTTTGTATTCCTAGTTACTTCAGTGCAATTTCATTATGCAAGTGTAAACCACTTAACTAATTATTATTTAAGGATTACCTATTGTTTAAAAAATTGTTTTGCTTTATTATGATTTAATATATATTAATATTATATTTGTTATTTTTTCACATTGTGATTTAAGTGATTAATACAACTTTTAATTAAAATATACCAAAGGAATATTGTTTTTATGTTTTAATATTATACTGTTATATTTATATTATATCCCTATTTCCCATTCTTGCTAAAGTGCAATAGGGTTCCACCAGGTATAATACGCAACTTTTAATACCTTATTAATACCTATAAATTAAATAACATTTTAAAAAAATGCATATTAAAGCATATAATGATGTTTATTGAATATTTTTGCATATTTTAGCGTATTTTAGCATATTTTATAATTTTTTGAGAGAATATAATGAGAATATTTGAAGGTTTTTTTAGGGAATATTAGCATCATATTTTGGGTATTTTAAGAGAATATAAATCTGGTCTTTAGTTATAAGACTCACTTTGTGCTGGTTCCAATGTGAGTATTATAAGTGGTGTCTACTGTATTAAGTACAAGTTACAAGACTAAATATTATCTTTAAGAAGACACTACACAGACACTTGTTATTTCGGTCTTACAAGTGGTGTGTAACACCATATTTACCCTCAGCAGATAAATGTTTAGCATTGTTAGTTCAAAATTTAGAGTGAATTGACCTATTATGAAACTTTATGGTAAGAATATTATCAGTATTTGTACATGGGTTCTTTTTACGATTATTCAGTTTTACAGTGAGTTATGAGCATTTTTAATTTATGCTATATTATAAACTCAAAACTTGCTTAAAAAAAAAGAACCATCAGAGAAAAAACCCACATAAAACAGAGATAATGATCTTACCATCATGTTTCATAATAGGTCAATTTACTCTACATTTTAAGCTAATGAAGAGAAATATGATCTGTTGAAAGTAAATTAGGTACGTACACATTTATGAGACAGGGAAAACAAAGATCCGTATAGCGTCTTCTTGACAAAGTATGTTTGGTATAATATTTTGGACCCATTCTAAAATACTTCATAAGTCAATAATTAATTAAATATACAATTATCATACATACATAAATATACCTTGCTTTTAAATTGTATTTAATATTAATAAAGAAATAACCAATAGTCTGGTTATTAAGGTACACAATATAACAACTCACTTTTGAAAGACTTTCTTTAATTACAGCTGAAATTACACAATTGCGCTGGTCTGAAATCATATGTGCTCGAGCTCGGTTTTTTGCCAAATTTAGACCTTGCTTAAGTTCAGCCTGAAAATTATTTTGTTACTCAAATATATTTTTAAAAAAATTTTGTACTCCTTCATTTTAATACAAAGATTTATGGATTAACAGTCAAATATACATACAGCAGATTTTAGCTTTTCATCTTCAGCTGAGATGTCGCAATTATTAATTGGTAATTCCGTGTCTGAAGATTGTTCGTTCATAAAGCATAGCTGTAGATTAGAACCTATAAAATCAAATCAAATAATATTATGTTTAGGGATACAATCCAGTATTTAGCTATAATTTAATATGAATTTACTAATTATTTTCACATAGACAATACATGATCAATACTGAACACTATATTATGAGTATACAAATAAATTGAGGTACCATGTACGCAAAACAAGTCATATAAGTATGTTATTCAGTAATACTGTACATTCTAACCTACATAGTAATTATAATATTTGTTTTGTTATTTATATTGTTTTAAATAAACAGTCAACTGACCCAATCATTGTATGCATATTGTTAGAGATTTGAAGAAATATGTTCAAATTTAAAGTCATCTTTATAAACTCTAAATTTTTATTGTAACATAGTTAAATACTAGCATGGAACATACATTTTCAAATTTGATGCACCTAATTGTTTAATGTTAGATTTTACTCACCATTTTGTAATCTAGACTCTAAACTTGATTTTTTTGTCGACTTTCTTGTGTTATGATAACCATCTACTAAGCGTTTACGAATTTCTTCACGGTCATTTTTTTTCTGAAACAAATAAAAATGTTCAATATTAAAAAAAAAAGTTACAACCCAAAGCTGTTTCAGTCTGAATCACTTATTACTTTTTTTGGTTATTTAAAATTGTATTTTTATTCTAGCAGTTTCAGGATACCTATGGGCCATGAGAATAATCAAATTTTCTGATAGGTACTTATCTGATATCAGATACAAAACCTTAGCTTTATAAGTACTTAGATTTAAGTCTTTTTCATAATTTCTTAAATACTAAACTACCGCATATCTTGCACCAAAATATGATCAACAGCAAAAAAAATTATTTCAATCAAAATGCTTTACCAAATTATACGTTTTGGTGTCTAAGGAATGTGTGTAATTGCTGTTGACCACCCCGAGCTCATTAACCATAGACATGTCCGTGAACTTGTGTATAAAATCGTTATCGTCGTAATGGCTTGCAGGGTTCTGATATATGAAACAACCTTTTTCCAGCTCTAGACACTTGTTGTTGTTTGGGTAAGTGGCGGTCTTATTGTTGTGGCCGATCAGCATGCGTTTATGGGTCTGTGTTTCCTGATACTCGTTGTCGTGCAGCAATGACTCCTTCAAGGCTATGCCGTTGAAATAAATGTTCTCTTTGATGTAACGACTGTTCGCTCCACCAGACTTGCCATAGTATCTGGGTCGCAGTTTTTCTTTGAACGTTGCGACTAGTGACGAATGATCCGACATGGTACGATAGTAAATACGCGATTCGATCGTCTAACGCTTCAATGGGTACGTCCCGTTACATTTGAACGGGACACATTCAAAAGCCGTCCCACCGACGGCCGTTCATTTCAATGATTTTTGTTTGGCGGACTGAGAGATATCAAAAAAGTGACAAAACTGTAATCACAGATATAAGCATACATGACTGTAATCCGCACAGATTATAGTTCAGTATCAGTCATGCGCCCAACGGTACTATACATTTGCGACCACCTGCGATACTGGTGGTTGTACTATACAACTACAGTGGTCAAAGGCGGCGTATACTCTATATAGTACTCTGATACTCTATTATTATTACTCTGAGTCTGAGATAGTACTCTTCCCAATAATATTATTAAAACCCCGACAGCCTTATCGGCTATCAATACATTAAATGCTTTTTTATTCTTCTCCTCCTCGATAGCGGCAAATGGATTTCGGCTCGGAGGTGAACGAAACAAGATTTACCAGTTACCCGTGTCTAAATAATATTATTATCTATTATTATTGAAGAGTAGTAATGTAGTATAGTATGTTTGTTGATGCTTCTTCGTTGCGAAATTAAATTTTCCAAAAATCGGACATAATTTTGTGTGGTTCTGCAGTCGCGCCAATTACATATTATCGGGTAGTCGCGTACTTACACGCATGCACACATGCATTCACGACGCAATGGGGGATATCGATTTTTGGGGTGTTTTAATAACACGGACCACGGACGTTATATACATATTGAACGTTATATACGTATTGTACAATTATTGTACGTAATATATACGTCCATGTCTAATAATTGCGTGCCGAATTGTGGCGGACGTGCGTTTTCGACTCGTTGGGGTGGCTTATGTGACCTATATATAGTGTTACAAAATAATAACATAATGTTGGTTTTGCAAAAAGAAAATCGAGATGTAAAATTACGATTTATAAACGGCAATATCTGAGTCATACAAACATAATTTAGGTCAACATTATGTGTAATTTATAGTGATTTTACTTTTTAATTCCTATAGATATATGTAAGTAGTAGGTAGGTAGGTACTATTGTATTATATTATTATTATTTGCTTTATTATAAAAGAAAATTTTTCTCTCGATTGAAAAACTTGACAATGTAAAAATAACGTTCCTCACAAGTTGATGTTAAAATGGAAATTAAAATAACATTTTTTAAATTTGGACTAAATTACATATTAAAACCATATGAATAACGATTTTAGTTATTTAGTTGCATTACCAAAATATAATTTTTGGGTACTTGAGACTTTTAGAATACATTATTATATTGTAAGTATACAGTATATACTGCACAATGACATTTTCAAATGCCATTTTTTTGATAAAAATTAGTTTAACTTACAGTACTGAGTACTATAACTGATGCCTAATAGTAAAATAAATGTCTTTAGGGGGACGAGGTGACCGAGTGGTCTGACTCTTCCGCTGCGACGCAGCCGGTCGCGGTTCGATCCTCGGCCACCGGGCGGCATTTTTCTCCGGACAATTCGCGGTGACCGGAGAGCAAGTGCTGCCATCCCCCACCCCCGGGGCATGGCAGAAACCTACGGGTGCCCCATTCGAAATTCTGCCAAAACAAACACACACGTGTTCCCCCTACCGTTCCAAAAACCTACAAACCATCAATA